CCTGCAAAGCTGAAAATATTTACTACCTGGTCCTTACAGGAAGTTTGCTGGTCTGGTTTACCATGCCAGCCAGGGCAGGAATCCCCTTCATAGCATCCCTCCCCTCTGGCCTTGGCCTTCACACCTCCAGTGATGGGGAGCTCACTACCAAAAAGGCAGTGCAGTCCATCTTTGAAAGGCCCTAGAGATAGCTATTTATACTGGCATTGAACTCTTTCTCCCTGTAACATCACACTCTGCCCCTTGACCCTTGTGGAATCAATTCTATCACTCCTCCACAAAAGCCATCAGTTTCTTCCTTCTCTTTAGTATCAATCCTTCCCTGTCCACATCCGTCACCTCAATTGTTCCTCACCAATCCCAGGGGATGTAGAGGAAAAACGGTATCGTCTCCAAGTTACAGATAAGGGGATGGGCAATGGAAAGGAAACGTGACACAGTCAGGAGTAGTGCCAGAGCTGAAACTAGGTCTCCTGCCTCCCAGCCCAGTGTCCCTGCAGCAGTATCACTTGAGTGTCCAGTTTGGTTTCCAGCCCATTACTCCCAAAATGGCACTCCAGGGGGCCTGAGGCGGTCTCTCATTTCCATTATTCCTGCCTCTGTGGCTCCCCTGGCTCGGCCTTTGCGGATCCAAGGACTGTTCTCACTGACTTTTCCACCTCCCCTTCACCCCAGCACTCAGTCTTAGGCTCTGAGCTCTTCTTCCCTCACATCTATCACACTCCTACCCCAACTCCTGGGAGTTGGTCTCAAGTGACTGCCCATATTTACAGTCTCTGTTCTTTGCAGCTTGCTTTCATGAGTCAGCTGGGTTTCTGACTCAAAGTACTAGCGAAGAGCTGACAGCCAGAAATGGGAAATGGGATCCTTAGTGGTCTCCTGATATCTGTCTATAAAACACAGCCAGTAAGATTTGTCCTCAGATAATACTAGGAAAGAATTTTGAAGTCCTTGGAAGAAGAGGGTCATGTATACACCATCTCATATAATTATCTGGAATCCTTTCAGCCACAGGGTATAGCCCTTGGGGAGCTCCCCTACTAACAGAGAAGGGTGAGTGACCTGGCTATTGCACTGACCCATGTGTATGTAATAATCTAGAAAGCTACTCTGTGGGTAGAACAGCAACTGTGAACCTTGGAAGATTAGACTAATGTAAATTCAAAATAAGCACTGATGGGCCAGACAGTGGTGAGGGTACAAGAGATGACTCGGGCTCTGCAAGTGGAGAGTCCAACTCTGATGACTAGCTGTGAAGCTCCAGGAAGTGGTATCTTCCCTAAGACTTATTTTGGTGAAATGAGTAAAAACGGTAAAACATCATGGGGTCACCGTGAAGATTAAAAGCTAGTTCCCACCACTAGTATAACACATGGCACATATTTGCTCACCAATGTGACTTTCCTTTCCCCGCTTCCCTTCTACTGTGCCAGGCACATGGTAGGTGCCGGGGGTTGGATAAATCAGGTAGAGTCCCTGCTCTCAAGAAGTCCAGTCTAGCTGTGGAGACAGGCACACACAACCAGTAACAGAAAGGGATGGGGCTACATTGATGTGATGATGGTAGGAACAATAAAAATGATGATGATGATGAAGATGGCCACAGCAAGAGTGAATGTTTATTGCACACCGTGGTGTGCCAGGTGTTCTCCAGGGATTACTCCACTTCATCGTCACAACCACCCTGGGAAGTGGTTATTATCATCCTTCTACAAGGGAGGAAAGGAGTCCTGGTGTCACAGTGGTTAAAGCGCTCAACTGTTAACCGAAAGCTCTGCGGTTCGAACCCACCACCCATTCCACAGGAGAAAGATGTGGCAGTCTGCTTCCATAAAGATTACAGCTTTGGACACCCTATGGGGCAGTTCTACTCTGTCCTAGGGTCACTGTGAGTCAGAATCGACTTGATGGCAACGGGTTTTTTTTTTTTCCACAGGGGAGGAAGCTGAGGCTCAGAACCTACAGTCATCCATTGAAGCAGCCACAGCAGTTAGGATGATGGTAGTGCAAAAAAGGCAATGGTTGGATCTGAAGGGGTCAGGGCAGGCCTCAGGGAGGAGGTGACAATGCCCTGTGCCTGGAAGGATGAGTCTGAGCTCCTCAGTAGAGGATGTAGCAGCAGGCATTCTAGGCACAGGGACTGGCAAGCCCAAAGGTGTGTGTTGGGGGACAAGAACTTCGGGGGTCAAGTTACACTCACTCCAATTAGCATCATCACAGAACCCACTGTGCTTAGGGATGTCAACTCTATGGGGCTCTACTCTCAGCCAACAAGGAGACAGGAGACAGTAGGCTTGAGAAGAGATTATTTCACTCCTGCAGTAAAGAGAAGCCTGGTTTACAGAAATGTTGTTGTTGTCTTTGCTATGCTTGAGCCAATCGTTGCAGCCACTGTGTCAATCCATCTCATTGAGGGTCTTCCTCCTTTTTCGCTGGCCCTCTACTTTACCAAGCATGATGTCCTTCTCCAGGGATGATCCGTCCTGATGCTGCATTCAAAGTACGTGAGACGCAGTCTCACCATCCTTGCTTCTAAGAAGCATTCTGGTTGTACTTCCTCCAAGACAGATTTGTTTAGTCTTCTCGCAGTCCATGGTATATTCAATATTCTTCACCAACACCATAATTCAAAGGCATCAATTCTTCTTTGGTCTTCCTTATTCATTGTCCAGCTTTCGTGAACATATGATGTGACTGAAAATACTATGAAATACAAGCAGCTAATATTAGGTTCAGTATCAATAATCACAGGTTCAATCACCTTCTGCCTCTTTACCTAAAAGAAGAATGTGAAATCCTGAGGGCATTAACTCAAATTGCATGTATTCTTCATTTAATTCTACTTTTAGAGTCTCTTCAGCTTTGGTTCAAATTTCGATGGCTCTGGGGAGTTCATCCCAGCTCTACTATTAATTCACTGGGGTCTTGGAGGGAGTCATAGTCTCCACCTTCTCCTCTCTGAGCGTCAGTCTCCTCGTGTAAAATGAAGGCTGGGCTAGAACAGAGGTTTTCAACATGTGGTCCCTGCACCAGCAGCATCAGTGTCACCTGGGAACTTGTTACAAATGCATTCTAGGGCTCCACTCTAGACCTACAGAGTGAGAAACTCTGGAGGTGTGCCCCAGTCGACTGCTTAAACAAGCTCTCCAAGGATTCTGACGGGAACCACTGGGTTAGAATATCCCCAAGGTAAAGACTCTTCCAGCAGTACAAATGGTTTGTGCTCTAAGGTACTCATGATTTAATAGCATGCTCTTTGGACAGAAGTATTTCTTGCCCAAGGCAGGTAACCCTTCAGGGTAAGAACAGAAGCTAAGTTTTCAATGACCAGCTAAAGTCCAGAGCCCAGGTGAGCTTTTCCAGAAAGCCTCAGGAATAAGCGGTTGATTTTGAAGGGCAGATTTTTTTTTTTAAAGTAGGAAGTCTCAATTTTGGCATGTGATAAAAGCAGTGGTGTCTGTAGTTGGAGAAACAAAGATGAGAGGAGAGCTGCTTTCTCATTTGGGCTCCAAAACAATGACTCACTGTCGGGTGTGTGTGTTACCAGCAGGGCCGTGGTCCTCTAGAGAGCAGCTTCTCCTCCTTGATCCAGGAGCTTTTTGGTGTGTAATCCTTGACTGCCACTCCCCCTCCCCTCCCCCGCCCCCCATCCCACTGACGAGAAATGATTATAAAACCTCAGAAGAGCCACCCACAGCCACAGAGCTGTGTCAACTAACTTCAGTGAGGTTTGGGTTCCAAAACAGTAAGGACAGAAAGAATGTCTGAAAGATCTAATTTTCCTAGTCTGGATTTAAGGGTGAAAGTTATCAAAAAGATGAGGAGATCATTTCACAGTACTGCCCCAAGGTTCTTCATGCAACAAAGGGGCACAGGCAGGCTGTCCCCGGAAAAGTGTCCTTCCTATGGTGCCTGTGTGGAAGGCGGAACTACAAGATTTCCAGGGATTCATGACCCTCACTTTCTTGTATCTCAGTAAGTGATAATAAATATAACAGCTTTTTCTTATATAGCACTGGCCATGTGCCAGGCACTGTTCTAAGTACTTTACAATTATTAACATATCTGTCTTCCAGCCTTTCGATTAGCAGCTGAGCGTTAACCATTTGTACCACCCTCCTGTTACAGGTGATGAAACCTCGGCACAGAGACCTCAGTCACAGAACTGCTAAGTCTCCAGTCAACAGGGTGCCAAGAACGAAGGACAGCAGCCAGGAGTCAGGCGACCTGGGCTCTATTTAAGCTATGTGTCTCCAACAGAGCGACTCAGCCGTCCCACCTACTTAGAAATGAGGGAGGCAGAGTCAGGTGGTTTCTAAGCTCACTTTCAGCTCCAAGACTCTGCAACTCTATGAGGAAAAATAGCCATGGCAAACAGGTCCTGAAATCTTGGTGTTTGAGGCCTGTCCTCCTGGTCGTGTGGGCTTCACAGCACCTAGAAGCGTGCCAGGCTCTGAGTCTCACAGTGCTCGAGGCCCGGGAGGGTCCCCTGTCCCCGCAAGTTGCCCGCCCAGACCCTGAGCCCTCCTCTCCCCAGTCTTGGGAGAATCGGCTTCTAGTCCTTCTCAGGTTTCCGTGTCCGGAGAGGCCGACGAGCCTAGAAGGCGACGCCAAGAGCCCGGGCGGAACCCCTGCTGGGGAACCGACGAGGGAAACAGTCGCAAAACCACGCAGTCCCTTTAACACTGAAAACTTTCTACTTAGATTCGGGACCCCAGCCGACGCACATTGGCTGAGAGCGGCCGCAAGGGCCCGCCCTCTCTCTTTATCTATTGGCTGCAGTAAGCATCCATCACAACTCGAGGTTCCCTAATGGACCAAGGCCTTGTCAATCAAGGGGGGGGCGGGTGACTGGGCGGTGCCAGGTCGGTGAGAGACGCGCCAGCCGCCTCCACCCAGCTTCCCTCCAGTCAGTGACTGGAGATCTGGAGGCGCCCCGGGGGGACCGGGCCCGGGTGCGGAGCACTGGTACAGGACTGTGCGAGGCTCCAGGGACTCACCGATGCGCTGTCCCACCGGAGAGCTGAACGGGTTCCCGAGAAGAAAGTCCATCGCTGCGGCTGCCACTGCCACCAACCCAGGGAATCAGCTGACAGCAACCGCCAGTGCCGCCGACCCGTCACGTGACGCGCCGGACGGCTAGCCAGGAGGCGCGGGCGGGGCGGGGCGGGGCGGAGGGAATCTGGAGCGAGGCGACAGGCCCCGCCCCTAACGTGCGAGGGTCTGGCGCGCCGAGGCGGAGAGCGATGACCGCACTGCGACTTACCCGGAGTCAGTGGGACGTCACGCACCGTGGAGGGATGGGGGCCTCGGAAGCTTGGGCCTTTCTGAGCCACGCCCTCTAACTTTCCTGTTAAAAAGGGTTTAGGGGACCTTGGTCGAAAAATTTCACTTTACGCATTTTGAAAACTGGGTTTCAGACCTGGGGAATGACTTGAGTAAGGTTGCACAGCAAGTTCAGACTACAGGTCTTACTGTCTTAGCTCTTAGCCCTGTGACTCCATTGACCACACACTGAGCCCTGGGGTTGACAGCCTCTCTGGCTGTTTTCTGTTTGCCCTGACAGGACTCTTCCTATTTGGTATAGAAGTCTCCCTGCTCCAAGATGCGCCCTGCTTGCAGGCCATATTCACTTACCTCAAACAGGAGGCAAGGGCCAGGGGTTTGTGACCCCTTAGGACTGAGCGCCAACTCAATGATTTGCAGCTAGGGACAGGATGGAGCACAGGGTGGCAGAAAGCACGCTCATCTAGTCAGGAGTGGGGCCTGGGGCCTGTCTCTGCCATTAATTCACCGTGCGATCCAAATACCGAGTTTCTATTTTGTGCCCTGGATGTTGGAATTAGATCAAGGATTCTTAAATTTTTTTGGGTCGCAGGCTCCCCTGAGAGTTTGCATAAGCCAAGCATGAGCCTTTCTGAGGAAAAGACAGAGACACAATTTCCTTATAACTTCGGAGAGTTTATAGGGTCCCTGAAGTACAAAACTGGACCCCTAGTTAAGAATCTCGAAAGGCCTCTCTCAATTTATGTAAGGGGGGAGTACATTTAAGATGATCTTCGTGTCTGATACTTTGCATGCCTTTCATTTAAGCAGTATTGCCTAGTTGCATGGAGAATACTTAGGATGAAATTTTTTTGGATTCTTCCATTAACCAGCTTTCACATCCCCCTCTTGGGTGGTCATCTGCCAGAAGTTCTTGCCTTCTTGCTTCACTCTGGTTTAGAGTGGTTGTAGGCAGAAGAACCTAGGCTTTACTGACAATAGTAAAGCAGCCATGTTAATATTAAATACCTTCCTAAGGTAAACATGTCCCTTAAGACTGACATGGTACATAAATGTAATCTATTCTATTTAAACACTTTTAGACAAAAATCAAGATACTTTGCTTCCAAAATTTAGAATCAGAAACCACCCACATGTCCCAAAGCAGGAAGTAGAATTACATTAACTCCATACAAACGGAATACTATACAGCTGTTGTGAAGGTGGAGCCCTGGTGGTCCAGTGGTTAGGAGCTTGGCTGCTAAACAAAAGGTCAGCAGTTTGAATCCACCAGCTGCTCCCTGGAAACCCTATGAGGCAGGTTCTACTCTGTCCTATAGGGTCACTATGAGTGGGAATTGACTTGATGGCAAAGAGGAATTATGATGGTTGTGTGTCAGCTTGGCTGGGCCATGATTCTCAATGGTTTAGCAGTTATGTAATGATGTATTTATCCTCCATGATGTGATCTGACGTGATCAGCCAATCAGTTATAAGGGGAGTTTCCTCGAGGGTGTGGCCTGCATCCTATATATATATATATATATGGACATTCTGGCAAAGGTAGCTTGCCTGCTCTGGATCCTGTATCTGGCTTGTAATCATCTGACCTCCAGTTCTTGGGACTTGAGCCAGCAGGCTGCCTGATGTCTTAGGCTGGGTTCTCTAGAGAAACGAAACCAGTGAAGTATACACACACACACACACACACAGGCTTGGAAACAGGGAGGTGATGTTAAACTATTTTATGGATGGAATATGGATGGATGTAGAATGAGACAGAGAGAGAGAGAGATTTATCTCAAGGAAGTGGCTCATGTGGTTGTAGAGGCTGGCAAGTCCTAAGTCCACGGGTCAAGCATCAAACTGGAGGCTTCTCCTGACTCATGTAGCTGCAGAGTCTGACGAACCGAAGATCGGCAGGTCAAACGGCAGGCTGCTGGCTCACAGGCTGCAGAGGCCAATGAATCCCAAAATCAACAGGCAATATGGCAGGCCGCTGGCTCAAGTCCCAAGAACTGGAGATCAGATGATTACAACATATATATATAGGATGCAGGCCACACCCTCGGGGAAACTAACCTAACAACTGACTGGCTGATCACATCAGATCACATCATGGAGGTGATTACATTGTATCACAAAATGGAGGATAATTACATCATTACATAACTGCCAAACCACTGAGAATCATGGCCCAGCCAAGTGTACACACAACCTTAACCACCACACCTGCCTATCTTGGGTTCGTCAGCCTCTTCGTCAGCCTCTGCAGCTACGAATCAGGAGAAGCCTCCAGTCTGATGCCTGACCCACGCACAGACTTGGGACTTGCTAGCTTCACTGGTTTTGCTTCTCTAGAGAACTCAGCCTAAGACAGCTGTTAAAACAGAAATGGATGTATGTGAATTTTGTGAACACAGTACCATAGATAGGAATGTGAATGGCAAACATTAAGTGTAGTACAAAACTGATTAAAACTATGTTTTAAAAGTGTGCTAACAAGGAACACACTCATTTAGTAAAAAGTTGTCTCAATTTAATTTTCCCTTTTATGTGTATTAGCAACATTAATATCAAATACCTTCCTGAGGGTAAAAATGGTTATATCCCTTAAGACTGACATACTGCATAGATGTAATGTGATCTATTATATTCTTTAAGCACTTTTCTAATCACATTTGCTCAGTACTATAGATAATTGAGAAAGATCCTAATGAATTATATACGTAATTTAAATTTGAAAGTGTCAGCTTAGGGTAGAAAGAGCCTAGGCTTTGGGGTTAGCTGTATCATTGTTCTTATTTTGGCTCTGACGTTTACTAGCTGCGTGCACTTAGGAAAAGTACTTTCTGCATCTGTTTCCTCATCTGTAAAGGGGGGTAATGCACCTCATAGGGCTTTCAGTAGGATTAAATGAGATAAAGTATGCAAATCACTCTCTCTATAAGTCATTCAGCTATATGGTAGTCTCTTGCTGTCTCTCCATAAGATAGCCTTTTAATCAATATATGAAATCACTATTTATGTCTTTTAACACCTTTTGTTTGCATTGAAAATTTTATCTTGAAAGCTCAAATCTCCATATACTTAATGTTCATAATATTACTCAACATTCATTTCATGCTGGCTGGCTGCAGGCTTGGAGACAGACAGGTGATGTTAAACTATTTTATGGATGGAATTTGGAAACTTATGAAGATTAAGTGATTTATTCAACATCACTAAGTCCGGATGGTGCTGAAACAGCATGAAATATATCATTTATAATGCATGATTCAGATGCAGTCACCTCTTACGTAAGATTGGTGGATATTTTCTTGATTTAGGTTAACACTGTAACATACTTACAGTTTCATTTGCCAATGAATACAGCCACAGTTCTCAGATTCACTGGATTTGCCATTTGCAGGAAAGAGAAAAGAAGAAGCTCCATAACTCAAAAATTAGAAACAGAGCAAGGTATATGTTAGGAATATGGGTAAGATTAGAAACTTGACCTCTGATGTCTTTTTTTAATAGAAAAGTATGGTAGTACATAATGTGAAAAATGGAGGTTTTATGAGTTTGTAGTTTACTTTAGTTAGCAGCAGGGAAAAGATAGCTGAGACTGGACTACAAATATTAAAAATGTGATTTTTAATAATATAAGTACAAAATTTTATTTCTTTATACAACTGTAATGGGATTTGGATCAAACTACTAGTATTTAAAAAACAAAAATAAAACAATGATATAAAAACTGCAAGAAGGTCTGAATCCAAAGTTTTTTCTCTAATAGTACCAAATACCACAAGGTACAGATTATTATACAAATGTGTACAAATTTTAAATACAAATACAATAGGGTTGGGTTTCAAAAGAAAACAAACAAACAGAAAGCAGGTCCTCATCAGGATTTCATGAAAGTATACAAATGACAATGGTAGGATTGATTTCTTCCTGTACTAACCCATGTCTTCAAGGCCTCTCCTTGAATACCCTGTGTCAAACAGGAAGCTTCCATGGCTACAGATGAGGTGTGGTATGAGGGTCGAATCCAAGAAATTAAGCCAAGATTTCTGCTCTTCTTGATTTTGGTTTCCAAACGTTTTCTGATTCCTCCTTTGTTTCCCAGGTTAAATCTCAAAACTGCTCTGAGCTGAGAAAGGCAGTCAGCAGCCAGAATACCTTTAAGAAACAGCCCTGTGACAACACTGCTGGGGGGAAGTGGGAGGAATTAAATAGGATGCAGACTAGCTGCACTGTCCCCAAGGACTTACTTTAATGCCGCAGTGCTCCATCTAAGCGAGGGGAAAAAAACACAGTTACCTCAGAGCTAGGTTTTGGCAGGTAATCTCAAACCAAATTTAAAAACAACCCTGAAGTGCTCAACTGTCTTCTCTCCAACTGGGAAGCAAAAGTCTGGTTCTTTGGAAATTAGGGTGGCTGGGAATGGTACCATTCCTTTTTATTTCACTTTTTTGACATTATCAAAGGCCATGAAGGTCTTTATAAAGAATTAGAATTCTAACATAATGATTCCTTTTTGAGGCAGAATGCCTTAAAATGTAGATGATTTGGAGTTTTCAGAGCAGACCAGAGGAAGAAAGGAAGGAACAAATGACAAATCTGTATCTTCCACATGCTGCTGCTGGTGGACACTTTTGTTATTAAATTATATATACAGAAATTTACAGGATAAATTAAAATCTAAGAGATTTTAAAGAGTTAAATACACATAATTAAAACACATTCACACGCGCACATAAATAAACCTCCGTGAAAATTGAGTGCTCTTTTTGCAATTCACTTATGTGTGGAATACACAACACTGTATCTGCCCGCCAGGGGAAACAGTAAGATGAACCCAAGAATCTTGCAGGGCAAAGTTTATCTTCCACAACCACCAAGCAACCAAGCAGCAGAATTTGTGAGAACTCAATGGCTAACTTAATGCTGCCCATGAAAGATACCAGCTCTTAGTTTTGCAGATAAAAATATTCTGGGTTAGCTCAGAATATACGCAGTTCAATAGGTGGCACTGGCAGCATTGCCCTCTCTGAGGATTTGATACTGCCAGGGCTCCCATAACTCCTTGGCCTCTGTTGAGGCTGCCAAAGGTACCAATGATTACAATGAATTTTGAGACATGGATACATATGAAGTAAGATTTGGGATGAACTTCCTACTCAGTTCTCCTAAGCCATCTCAATAACCACAAGATGGGAACGATTTTTATCACCTTTCACCTAGATCACTTCAAGTTGAAAGGCTTTGTACTTTCAGTCAATTGGCATCTTCCCATAACTTTCTTTCCTATTAGATTTCAGACAATAAGACAGGTAAGGCAAATGGTCAGTGATGGGTCTGGAGGTACAACTGACTTTGGAAAAAAATCACATTTTAGCTGTCCATAAAGAGATGCACTTGGCACTCAGAACAAGCCCCCAGCCCTCAAGTTACATTGATTTTTAAGGCAGATTTATCCACCACAGGAGAAAAAAGAATTCTAAGCCAATTCATTCCAAAGTTTACTCTTGGCTAAACCTTTGCCATTTCGTAAAATTATTAAAAGCAAAGTAGTTAAAGTCCTATGTATATATTGTACATTTTACATATATATATATATGTGTGTGTGTGTGTGTGTGTGTGTATATACATATATAAAAATTTAAAACCTACACCGAGGCCAGTGAAGGAGTTTGGAACAGTCACATATACACAAACCAGCAATGGAGTAGGATTAGGTTTCTGTCCCAGGATTCTTTGCTGTCAGAGTCCAGGCATGATGTAAGCAATGTTGTCTAGTGTGTTTGACTGTAAAACAAGGAAAAAAGGTTCAGCTGAATAGTACTTTACCTTGATTCCCTAAGAAATGTTTCTTTTTTCAAGTAAGAGGGATGAGGAAGAAAAGCCAGAGTTAGAGAAAACAGGGTGAGAATGAAGATGGCATCTTGTTGTCTGTTATGCTGCGAGTTTTCTGCTAGTTTCCCCCATTAATCCTAGTGAGTAGAAAAACAAATAGGAAACGTGGGAGTTGCCGTATCTCAAGGGCTAGAATGTTTATTTTGGGAAATGGCATGTTTCCATGCTTCGCTGAAAGCATGGCATGCATCTTCTAACAATACAGTATCATGTTAGTATCATGTTCTGTGGGAGTGCTATATGCCATGAAGCCTTTTGAGCCTGTGAGCCTTATAAGCCTTATAAGCCTGTGCCTGACAGCTGTCACTAAGCCAGGGTTCTTCTGGTTCCCGTGGGGTCTGGCCCAAAAAATCCAAGGAAAACTCACCAAGACCTGTTTGGGACAGCCATTCAATTCAGGTAGTTGTGTGGTCAGACATGCCAAGGGGCCAAGTGCACAGATAATGGAATCCAGAAGCACTGACAGACTGCCAGACACAGCCACCATTCCCTGGAGAGCATTAAAAGAGAGAGACTGTAACCTGAATCACACTCTGGTGCTCCCTCCCATGTTCTGGTTGATTTTCTCACATGGTTCTTTAAATCCTGGGCAGTTCTACTCACACAACACAAAACTTGAAGTGGAAATGGAAGGTATCTATTCTGATGACTCTGTTATTTAAAAAGAAAATGTTTACAATACATTCTCAGGTTTCCTTTCTATATTCCTAACCCATCTTACCCCCTGTGTGACCTTGGGAAGTCATTTAACATCTCTCTCCTTAATAAGAATAGTTTAAAAAAAAAAAAAAAGCCTTACTTACCCCTGAGAGCTGTTGGGAAGATTTGTGGAGATCATGTATGCAAAAGTATGTAGGCTCTATAAATATACCTCAAATTTGATTACTATGAGAAACTTATAGCTCTGCACATTCACATTTAATATAAATACACTTTTCCACTTATGTGGCTTTTGATAACTGATGACACCATTTTTCTGGGTTTGGTTCCTCACTCTCCAAAGGGAGTGACTTTGATGCATTTCAAAATTTAATATCTTGAGTGCTTCATATTGTCTATATTGTTGTGATTCCCACAAAGAGATAACAAATAAGATTGCCTGATGCAAATATGGCTGTCTAGCTCTTGTATAATGTTTTGACTAGAACCACTGTGAGGACGTCATCTTGGGAAGCAGCATAGCAGAGTTAAGAGATTGAGCTCTGGACTCAAGCCTGCCTATATCCAGATCCTGACTCCATCATTTATTGCTTTTGTAACTGGGCAAGAGGCTTACTGTTCTGTGCCTGTAACACAGAGTATTAATAGTACCTATATCAGAGCAGATTAAGTGAGATAATAAAGGATGTTGGATGCTGCCTTGTATGTAGTTAAGTGCTCAAGAAATATCAGCAATTATTACTGTTATTAGCAAAATATTTATCTATAAAACTGCAATTTTTGGCTGCCGGCTGGTTCTCTCCTCTGGGATATTTCTCAATCTTACTATGCTATAAAGAGAAATAACCTTCATCCAAATCCACTTCTCCTCCTAGCACCTATTTCTCTGCTAAAGTCACCACCATTCATATGGCTATCCAGTTTCAAGACCTCAGCCATTGTTGACTCTTTCTTTCCCTCTTCCTCCTTGTCTACTATCTTTCCTCTATACCTTCAAGGGAGGCAGTACATATAGCAAAGGGTTAAGAGCATGGAACTTAAAGTCACACGACCAAATTCAAGTCCCTGCTTCAACAGTTAGTCTGAACTCTAGTGCAAGTTACTTAACCTCTTCAAGCCTCTGTGTTTTCTTCTGTAAAATACTAAACCAAAATGAAACCCGTTGCCGTCCAGTTGATTCCGACTCACAGCGATCCCAAAGGATAGAGTAGAACTGCCCCACAGAGTTTCCAAGGAGCAGCTGGTGGATTCGAATTACCAACCTGGTTAGCAGCCAAGCTCTTAACCACAGGGCTCCTTTTGTAAAATAGGGAGATCAAAAATTCTGCCTCACAAGCTACAGTGTGAATTAAATGAAACAACTCATATAAAGCACTAGGAACCAAAGCTGGCTGAGTAAGTATTTGATGTTAGCAATTATTAATGTTATTCCATTACCTTTGCCCTATAGTTAATTATAGCTAATATTTTATGTCTGACTCTCCTAATAGAGTGTATGTTCCCTCAGGGAAGGAACAATGTATTCCTTTTTATATCCTCCCAATAACTACTGGTGGTCTGCATATAGTAAGCTCTCAATAAGCATTTATTGAATTAAATTCAGATCTTTGTCATGTCTAGACTATGGTTATAGCTTCTCCTCACTTCTGATCTCTTTTTACTTCCAATCTAAGAAGATACTATCAAAGAAAACCAAATGAGAGCACTAATCACACCCATCCCTACCTGCAGTTCCTAAGCAGAAAAGTATAAACACTTCAGGATGTCCATGAAAACCCTTTGCAATTTGGGCTCTACCTTAATTTTTAGCCCTTCTCCACTTCATGCACTGTATGTTCCAGTTCAGTAGGTTCATAATTTTAGCAGTAAAACCCTTTCTCAAATAAAAACCTTATGTAAAACCCCAATATATACAAGAGCTAAAAGATCTGGTTAAAATGGGGGTGGGGATCCAGAGCCCCACTGGGCCTCTATTAATCCTTCTTTGCAGAAGACACTGAGGTTGAGAAACAGACGTACACTGTTTTCTTAGCCTGGAGTGTCTCTCCACCATCTCCACAGGCCCAAATCCTACTTACACTTTGTAATGGTTAAGGTTGTGTGTCACCTTGGCTTGGCCATTATTCTCAGTGGTTTGGCAGTTATGATGTAGTCTGGCAGTCGTATGATGTTGTGATCACTTCCATGATGAGATCTGATATAATGTGATCACCTCCATGATGGGATCTGCTGTGAGTAGCCAATCAGCTGAAAGGGAGTTTTCTTGGATGTGTAGCCTACATCGAATACAAGCAGACATTCTGGCAAGGCTCATGGGCTTTTGCTCGCTCTGGATGCTGCAGCTGGCTCCTATTTGTCTCAACTCCAGTTCTTGGGACTTGAGCTAGAAGCTTACCTGTGGTCTTGCCTGCTGATCTTGGGATTCATTGATCTTAGCAGCCTGTGAGCAATAGCCCTGCTCTCTCACCTGCCGATCTTGGGTTCACCAGCCCCTGTGGCTATGTGAATCAGGAGAAGCCTCTATCCTGACCCACGGACTTGGGATGTTCCAGCCTCTACAACTGTGTGAGCCATTTCCTTGATATAAATCTCTATTTTTTTTAATGTTAGCTGTGTGTGTGTTTTTTTTTTAAACATATATATATTTTTATTATACTTTAGATGAAGGTTTACAGAACAAATAGTTTCTCATTAAACAATCAGAACATATATTGTTTTATGACATTGGTTAACAACCCCACGACATGTCAACACTCTCCCTTCTCTACCTTGGAGGACCCCTTTTTTTTTTTTGGGTGAAAATATACATAGCCAAAGTTACACCATTTCAAAAGTTTCTACATGTACAATTCAGTGACATCGATTATATTCTTCCAGTTGTGCTGCTATTTTCACTATCCTTTTCCAAATTATTCCATCACCACTATCTTCAACTCACTGCCCCCTAGGCTTCCCATCAAAACTTTTGAGTTGCTGTTATCAATTTGATCTCACAGAGATAATTCTTTTTTTCTGTACCTTAGATGAAGGTTTGTAGAACAAATACTTCCTCATTGAACAGTTAGTACACATATTGCCCTATGACAATGGTTAACCACCCCACAACATGTTAACATTGTCCCTTCTCAAACTTGGGTTCCCTGTCACCAGCTTTCCTGTCCCCTCCTGCCTTCTAGTCCTTGTCCCTGGACTGCTGTGCCACCTTTGTCCCGTTTTGTTTTATGAGGCCATCCAATCCCCAGCTGAACGGTGAACTTCGGGAGTGACTTCACCACTGAGCTAAAAGGGTGTCCAGGGGCCATACTCTCGGGGTTTCTCCAGTCTGTCAGGCCAGTAAATCTGGTCTTTTTTTTTTTGTGAGTTAGAATTTTGTTCTACATCCTTTTCCAGCTCTGTCCAGGACCCTCTATTATGATCCCGATCTCTATATTTATTTATACGTTTACTAGTTTTGCTTCTCTAGAGAACCCCGCCTAGGACACCCTTCAAGGTCCAGTTTGAATAACACCACCCTTTCACAACACCTCCTGATTTCTTCCTAAGTCTCTTTCTCTCCAACAGTCCTTTAACTACTTGAAGTAGTGCAGTACCACAGAATGAGAAGAGGGTTGGAAATAGGCAAGCTGGACTCTATTTTCAGCTTTCCCTACTGGCTGTGCAAACTTGGAGTAGTCACTTAATTTCCCTGGGCTTTTAGGTATTCAGTCTTTAAGTGAGCGAACTATATAAATCATTGTTCCCTAACGTGTGGTATACAATTTCAGGTGGTACATAGGTGAACACTAATTACTTTGATAGTTATATATCCATTTGATCTGTATTAGAAAAAATTTCCCTAGAATATCACACTTATACTAAGAATATTATTGTGCAAATGTGGGTAGATTTATTTAAATAAAAATATAAAATAAATAATAGTATAAGTGGTATGTGACAACTGCAAAATTGTGAAAATATATGCAAATCATTAAAGTCCAGAAAAAAGTAGAAGGGAATGGGAAGTGGCTGCTAATGGGTATGGGTTTTTTTTTGTGGGGGAGGGGTGGTGATGAAAAATGTTCTAGGACTAGATAGTGGTGATGGATCCACAACTCTGTGAATATACTATTGTTGTTAGGTGCTGCTGAGTTGGTTCCGACTCATAGCGACCCTATGTACCACAGACTGAAACACTGCCCAGTCTCACGCAATCCTCACAATGGTGGCTATGTTTGAGCCCACTGTTGCAGCCACTGCATCAATCCATCTCATTGAGGGTTTTCCTCTTTTTTGCTGACCTTATACTTTACCAAGCGTCTTAGTTATCTAGTGCTGCTATAACAGAAATACTACAAGTGGGTAACTTTCACAAACAGAAATTTATTCTCTCACAGTTTAAGAGGCTAGAAGTCCGAATTTAGGGGGCCAGCTCTAGGGGAAAGCTTTCTCTGTCGGCTCTGGGGGAAGGTCCTTGTCATCAATCTTCCCCTGGTCTAGTAGCTTCTCAACACAGGGACCCCAGGTCCAAAGAACATGCTCCACTCCAGGTTCTTCTTGGTATAAGGTTCCTCTCCTCGCTGCTCAATTCTCTTTTATTTCTCAAAAAAGACTGACTTGAGATACAACCTAATCCTGTAGATTGAGTCCTGCCTCATTAACATAACTGCCTCTAATTCTGCCTCCATTAACATCATAGAGGTTAGGATTTACAACACACAGGATAATTACATCGTATCACAAAATGGTGGACAACCATACAACACTGGGAACCATGGCCTTGCCAAGTTGACACACAATTCAATCCATAACACTAATCATGATGTCCTTCTTCAGGGATTGGTCCCCTCTTATAACATGTCCAAAGTAAATGAGACAAAGTCAAGCCATCTTCGCTTCTAAGGAGCATTCTCGCTGTACTTCTTCCAAGACAGGTTTGTTTGCTCTTCTGGCAGTCTGTGATATATTCCATATTTTTCACCAACACCGATTTGAAAGCACCAATTCTTCTTCAGTCTTCCTCATTCACTGCCCAGCTTTTGCATGCATATGAGGTTACTGAAAATACCATGGCTTGGGTCAGGCACACCTTAGTCCTCAAAGTGACATCTTTGCTTTTTAACACTTTAAAGGGATCTTTTGCAGCAGATCTGCCCAATGCAGTATGTTGTTTGATTTCTTGACTGCTGCTTCCACAGGCGTTGATGGTGGATCCAAGTAAAATGAAATCCTTGACAATGTCAATAAATTCTACACTTTAAAGGAGTGTATGGTATGTGAATCAATAAGGTGGTTATAAAAAAAAGTGGACTAGAGAATCTGTGAAGCTCTTTCTCATTTCTGGTTACTATATGTAAGTAACTCACTCACAGCAACTACTCACAGAAGCTTGCTTGTTTTAAATTGTTAAAAATATACATATTCTATTTTCCCAACTAGACTTTAAGTTTCCTGATCATAGGAATACTTTGCTATACAGATTTTCTATTCCCCCGAGTTCCTGGAGTAACGCCTACGTACTCAACAAATACTTGCTAAACTAAACAGAAGTATCAGAGAAATTTTGGTATATGGAAGATGCTTAAAATAAATCATTTTTACTTCTAGCTTTTTAGGAAACATAAGAATGACTAAATATGAAAAATAAATAAGAATCACAGGAGATAGAGCTTCATCTTTTGTGGCCTTTGGTATTTTATTTGTTGAGTAACTATTCCATTTCCACATAGAAGCAGGTGAATAGCTTAAAAATGGCTTTAGTAGGTTAGACTGATTTCTTTGCTGAAATGTTCTATTAGAACCCATTGGAAAGCTGAACTACCTCATTACTGAGTCAGCCACGGGGGCAATATGGTTAGAAATTGAATAGGGTAATAGAAATGGAACATGACAGCTTTGTAGGTTAAGTGATTTTGAAATTGAAGCTTAAAAGGACAAAAATTTCCTTAGGGCACATAGCACTGTATAACTCGAGTGCAGAGTGAGAAGAGCTTGCAAACGTCAACTCCCCTATTTGCTACCTATTTTCAAAGAAGTAGAGGAACTCTTAACTTCCTATATAATCTAATCTGTCTATTTGAAATCTTGCTGTAAATGCACAGCAAAGTTCAAACTCTTAGAAGTGATCAAACCTGCCATGGGATTTGTATTCATCTTTTCCATTGCATTTTTTTTTTTTAATAAAAATACAGGGTACTTTCTAATTTCTTTTGGTGCCAGTGTTTCAACAGGATGCTATTAGTGTAAACTTTGACAGCCAGTAGGTAGATCCCAAATCTCCAGATGTTTCTATTACCATCATTCTTCTTTATCACTGTATCTTGAGCACCTGGCATAACAGGTATAAAGTTGTTCAATGAATACAGTTGGGTGAGAGACTGAATACAAGTTACATAAGAAACTGGACTCATGCTGCTGACAGTTGTACTCACCTCAGTTTCCTGCAGGCGGTGTCCAATGAGGCTTAGGGACTCTCCCAACAGCTGAAGATGAGCAGCAACATCAATGGGCTCTGTCTCAGGGGCTTTGGCTGGTGAGGTTGGTAACAGTATGGTGCTGGGTGGGGACTTCTTTTGGGGTGACAGTACTCCTATAGAAGAAGCTGGGAACAGAGGGATAAAACAGAGAGATCAAATTTGCCTGCGGCCTTGACCACCACAAAAATGTTATGCCCGATTTTCCCTTTTTATGGGCTACACCAAGCATTGGTGAAACTATGGCTGGGGTGCCAAATCTGGTCCATGACTTTTTTTTTTTAATTTAAAGGTTATTGTGTTTTAGGTGAAAGGTTAAAGTGCAAATTAGTTTCTCATTCAAAAATTTTACAAATTTTTTTGTGAAACTGGTTGCAATACCCGCAATGTGTCACCACTTGACCCTTTCCCTTTACACCCAGGTTTCCTGTCCTTTCTTGCCTTTGCTTTTGGGCAGGTGTCGCCCATTTGGTCTCAGATACTTTACTGAACTAAGAAGCACGCTCTTCACATGTGTTATTGTTTGTCTTATAGGCCTGTCTAATCTTTGGCTGAAAGGTGGACTTCAGGACTGGCTTTAGTTTTGAGTTAGCAGGGTGTCTGGGGGCCATAGTGTTGGGGGTTCCTCAAGTCTCTGGCTGACCAATAAGTCTTGTCTTCGTGAATTTGAATTTTGTTTTACATTTTTCTCCTGCTTTGGCTGGGACCCTCTATTGTGATCCCTGCCAAAGCAGTTGGTGGTGGTAGCCAGGCACCATCTAGTTCTTCTGGGCTCACGCTGGTAGAAGCTGTGGTTCATGTGGTCCGTTAGTCCTTTGGACTAATATTTTCCTTGAGTCTTTGGTTTTCTTCATTCTCCTTAGCTCTGAATATGGTGGGACCAATAGATGTTTTAGATGGCCGCTTGCAAGCCTTTAAGACCCCAGACGCTACACACCAAAGTAGGATGTAGAATATTTTCTTTATGAACTATGTTATTCCAGTTGAACTAGATGTCCCCCAAGATCATGGTTCCCAGCCCTCAGCCCCAGTAACTCAGTCCCTCAAGGTGTTTGGATGTGTCTAGGAAGCTTCTATGGTTTTGCCTTGGTTAAGCTGTGCTGACTTCCCCTATATTGTGTGTTGTCTTTCCCTTCACCAAAATTAACACTTGTCTACTATCTAGTTAGTAATCTCCCTTGCCCATTCCTCCCTTCCCTCGTAACCATCAACGATTGTTTTTGTCTATGTGTAAACTTTTCCTGGGTTTTTATAATAGTGAACTCATAGAATATTTGCCCTTTTGTGATTGACTTATTTCCCTCAGCATAATGCCCTCCAGATTCATCCACATTATGTTTCACAGATTCATCATTGTTCTTTATCGTTGCATGGTATTCCATTGAGTGTATGTACCATAATTTGTTCATCCATTCATCTGCTGATGGGTGCTTAGGTTGTTTCCATCTTTCTGCTATTGTGAATAATAGTTCAATGAACATTTGTGTGCATGTATCTATTCATGTGATGGCTCTTATTTCTCTAGGATACATTCCTAGGAGTAGGACTGCTAGATTGTATGGTATTTCTATTTCTAGCTTTCTAAGGAGGCATCATATTGTTTCCATAGTGGTTGTACCATTTTACATTCCCACCAGCAGTGCACAAGAGTTCCAATCTCCCCACAACCTCTCCAACATTTGTTATTTTCTGTTTTTTTTTGATTAGAGCCGGTAATGTCAGCATGGGATGGTGTCTCATTGTAGTTTTGATTTGCATGTCTCTAATGGCTAACGGGGCAACTCTGCTGGTGTAGTAGTTAAGCGTTGGGCTGCTAAACAAAAGGTCGGCAGTTTGAATCCACCAGGCGTTCCCTGGAAATCCTATGGGGCAGTTCTACTCTGCCTCATAGGGTTGCTATGAGTCGGAATTGACTTGATGACAACGGGTTTGGTTTTTTTTCTTTCAATGGCTAACAATCACCAGCATTTCCTCATGTGTCTATTAGCCGTCTGAATGTCTTTTTTGGTGAAGTGTCTGTTCATATCCTTTGCCTATTTTTTAACTGGATTATTTGTCTTTTTGTTATTGAGGTGTTGAAGTATTCTATAAATTTTAGAGACTAGACCCTTGTTGGATATGTCACAGCCAAAAAATTTTTTACCAGTCTGTAGGTTCTCTTTTTGAGACGACTTTTGATGAGCCTAAGTGTTTATTTTTTAGGAGCTCCCAATTATCTAGTTTACCTTATGGTGTTTGTGCATTGTTAGTTTGTATTCTACTTATGTCATGTACGAGGGCCCCTAGCGTTGTCCTAATTTTTTCTTCCACAATCTTTATCGTTTTGGGTTTTATATTTAGGTCTTTGACCCATTTTGAATGTTTCTGTGTATGGTGTGAGGTATGGGTCCTGTTTCATTTTTTTTTTTACAGATGGACATCCAGTTTTGCCAACACCATTTGTTAAAAAGACTGTCTTTTCCCCATTTAATGGACTCTGGTCTTTTGTCAAAGATCAGCTGACCGTACGTGGATAGATGTGACCTCTTTCTGTATGGCTTGCAAGCTAAGAATGGGTTTATGTTTTTAAAGAGTTAAAGAACAAAAAAAAAAAAACCCTCCCCCCACCAAAAAAAAAAACAACATCAAAAAGAATGTAAGACAGATACTGTGTATGGCCCAAAAAGCCTAAAATATTTGCTTTACAGAAAAAGTTTGCTAATCTCTGATCTATGTTTTCTAAATTTGAACATCGTTTTTGCACCCTACAATATTCAGTAATAATACCTGGGTATCAAGATCTGCTTCTAATATAAGCTGCTCTCCCAATTTCCTAGTAAGGAAGCAATATTTACAGCACTCTAGGGAAAATTAAGAGCAGCAAGGGGACATGGTCACTACCTTTTATTTTCATGGAACCTTCTGAACTGGACGCTTTTCTTTTCACAGTTGTAGCTTCTGCTTTGTTCTGCTTGTGTTGCAGATATTGAGCTTTCTGCTTCCAAATCTGCAGTCAGATCAGGGTGAAATAAATTAAAAAGGACAAAATAGTAAGATAGAAGGCAGTCATGGAAAAACAGAAAGAAGAAAAGAAAGGGAATAGTGGAGGAGGGCAGACAGAGCGTTAACATTAACTTTTTAAGCTGAAGGTTACTGGGTAAGTTTCAGACAGTTATTACACTAATATCTTAGACAACTACAAACATTCATCAGTATTGACGGGATAATCGCAGTACTGATTTTTAGATCACTCCAGGGTTGAGCCCTGGTGGCGCAATGGTTAAGTGCTCAGCTGCTAACCAAAAGGTTAGCAGTTCAAACCCACCCAGCAGCTGCATGGGAGAAAGACCAGGCAATCTGTTCCTGTAAAGATTACAGCCTACCAAACCCTGTGGAGCAGTTCTACTCCATCACATGGGGTCGCTACGAGTCGACCCCCTGTGATAGAGCAGAACAGGGGTGAAATGTAAAATCATGGAGTAAACATCTGGCTCAATATAAATACTTCCTCTAGCCTGCTGGTTTGCAGGGTAAAGATGACATGGAAAACAGTAACTAAGGATAATCTACCTGGGTGAAACGTATTTTAGTTGTCTGACCCAGATGAGCTGTTCCTGAAAGCAAAATGGTAATTCTAATTCCTAGACTATAATTCTAGTTCCATATAATCCAATTGGAAAGTGACTGTAAATGATTCAGATATGACTATTTATTATTGTCTTGCTAGCTTCTTGATAGTAGGTACATTATGTATTAATGGTTATGAGGATGATGACCTGGATCCTAGTTCTACCGAGTAAACTCATTAACATGGTTTCGTCTGTGGTGACTATTAAGTGAATGACTCTCTGCAGTTCTCAGACTACAGCTTTTGTATTAGAGGGTTCTGATTTTGGACTCTCTTTTAACATTTTAATTACTGCCCAAGTTAGATCATCTTTTGCCTCAAATGTAAGGTTGTTAGAAAAAAAAATTAGACAAGGTTAGAAAAGACAGCATCTCTGCAGCTAAGTCTTTGCCCAAGGTAAACTGGCACTAACACATTGCCCTTGGCCAAACAATTTTCATTTGCCATTTTTTTCCACTATTTTCAGTATTATCTGGCTAGATGGTCTACAGGAGAATTACACATTTTGGAGGTACAAACAATGGAAAAAGTGTTGGTAAGAAGGTGTACTTACCAGTTTGTCCTTTTCTGGTAATTGCTTCCACACCTCAGCCAATTTTTTACTAAGTTCCCCAAAATCTGGCATAAAAGAGTAAAAAACCCAATATAGTAAAGGGTTAACTATCAACAAAACATGACTGATGAGAGCAAAGGCTGGAAAAAGGTTCTTGAAGATCATACTTAAATATCAAAAGAGTCTTTCAGAAAAACCAATCCAAACCAAACCCCTATCACTTTTCTTCTGATTCTTGTCTATCTGAAAGGGGCTGTTTTGGAGATCATAAGATAGGTCCAAATTCTCACATCTACTCTCTAGGGATCTATTCCTCACAAATCTTTCTGGTGTCCTCTAATCTGCTTCCACAATAGACGGCTTATCAATTTAGGTTAAAGACAACACGTTTGGTAGAAATTGGTAAAAGTAAAGATGTTAAGCTTGTACCAAATTTCTGAGAGATTAGAACCAAAGAATTTCCCTACACCAGCTTGGAAGCAATCCTTCAGATGTGTAGTAATATTACCCCACTTCCATTAGTATAATGATTTTATGCTTTACAAAGCACATTCACATCTCCTATGATATTTCATGTGTACTTCACAACAACCTTGTAGAGTGGCTAGGGCAGCTATTTTACACATTACACAAATGACACGTGTAGAAGTTAAGTGACTGTCCAAGGTCTCTAGTGTAGTGTTTTTCTCACTTAACTAGCTTTGAATAGAGATAAATATGAATAATATAAGTTATCTCGGCTATAACTCTACATCAAGGACAGCTTAAGAAAAAGGTCAAATGTAGAATCATGGAAAATAACACCAACAAACATGATCATATAAAGGTATTTATACATAACAGCATATTTATGCATATTTATGTATGAACTGTCCTTCATAAAATTGAGTTTTTTATATGTACCTTTCCCATTTTATCAGTTTAAGAGCTATAAAGAGAAAGCTTTTCTCTTTTAGGATGGGGTAAACAGGCAAAAATACACAGCAACTTACAGAACTGAGGAAAGCAATGAGGTTTGTATTCTTTTAATACCAAGCGAAGAAGTTGCCTGCTGACTTACTGATTTAATTGCACTGCTCTCAGAGAGACAAATGAGAAGTACAAAAGGCAAAAGATCAGAAATGTCCTTACCTATACCTGGGTGATCAGCCACAATGGTTACGCGATATTCTTTACAAAACACCTGGTAGGCCGACATGTTCTTCTTTTTTGGCTAGAGCCACGTAGAAAATAGAACAGGGTAAGACTTCATTAGAACATGAGTTTAGCAACCTTGAATCTATGGTAACAAAATAGAAAGGATACTGATACTTTTTCATCAAGGGAAAGAATTCCAAACCACTAACCAGCTCTCTTAAACTGAATAACTAATTTTTAATCCATATTATTTATCACTCAAGAGATGAATGTCAGTTTTACTTTTAGACAGTAAAAACTGCACGCTAAATTACTTTTAGATTTTTTGGGTTGTTGCAGCCACATAATTATCAAGTCATGATTTGGTCATATTGTAAAGTCATTCATTCTTCCTACATACAATCCTGTGTTAGTATTTCTTTTAGACCTAAGTGCTAAGATCTTTGCCTCTCCTAGAGTATCTACTTTTTTTCATCTTTGAAAATAAGAAACCACAATAAGAACCACAAAACTGGTATTTCCATTTAAACTTTGCTGCCAGAAAGCCAGGAGCTAAATCTGTGTTCTTTTTGTTTCCTTGGTTTAATTTCTAATCTTATAACTCCTCTGATCCTGTTCTATTTCCACTTGTAGTTTACCATTATTTTATTATTCACATTCTTGTGGTTCAAGGTAGGAAATAAATAACTGAAGACAATTCTTGGGTAGGACTTCAACAAACTGTTCTGTGTTCCTTGAAGCATGTTTGTTCTTCACTGTATTATGACAAATTCCAAAAGCAAAGCATAATTTCTGAGCAACAAAATCATATGCTTTTTAGGCCAGTTCAATGAGGGATATATAAAATAGATTATACTACTATGCATTCCATTTTACAACTATACATAGATTGAGGAAAAAAAGTTAGTTTTCCTGCTTGGAAAGGGGCATTACATTTCATTTGTCTGAGCCTCTCACTTTGCATATGAGAAAAAAGAAACTTAGAAAGATAGTGACATGCCTAGGGTCTGACAACTAAGCTATTTGTAATATCAGCAAGACTACAATCCAAGTAGGCTGACTTCCAGGGCTATGCATTATGCTATCTTTACACAGGGCCAGAGAAAGAAAATATGTCACTTTCTTACAGAAAAAGTTACTGTTAAAACAAAAAAAAAAAAGATGTTTTACCATTTTATAATCTATATCTGATAAACTGAGATTTTTTCAGTATGGCTTTCCTTAAAAACTCATCTGGAAGCATCAAAATATGATGATCACAGACAGCAGACACTTGTTATTTTTGGTGAGGGGAAAGGCAATACTCAACATGGGTGAAATCTGCACAACTCGTCCAAGGTAAATGAAGACACTAAAGCATACGCAAGAATAAGGGACAATTTTGGTAAATGCTATAACATACGATTTTGTAATAATAAGCAAAAAAATTTGTGTGTGGTTACACAGGTAGATATGTATGCATATATGTGTACAAGAAGGCACATGTGAGTATATATGTGTACATGTATAGGTGTATCTGTAGGCATATGCATATATATGTTTATGTGCACTGCATATATATATATTCATATATATAATAAACCACATGGGGGCAGAGTTACAGATACTTCCTAGACATAAACAAACACCTCATGGGACTGGTTTATTGGGTTTGAAGTCCTGAGACCATAGTTTTGTGGGACAACTTGGTCAGCTGGCATAACATAGTTCATAAAGATAATGTTCTACATCATAGTTCGGTGAGTAGCGTCTGGGATCTCAAAAGCTTGTGAGCGGCCACCTAAGATACAACTATTGGTCTCTACTCATCTGGAACAAAAAAGAATGAAGGAAACCAAAGACTCAAAGAAGAAACTAATCCACAGGACTAATAGCCCACATGAACATGAACCATGGCCTCATATAGCCTGAGACCAGAAGAACTAGATGCTACCTGGCTACCACTACCAACTGTTCTGACCAAGGACACAACAGAAGGTCCCAGATAGAAAGGGAGAAAAATGTAGAACAAATCTCAAATTCCTAAAAAAAAGGCCAGGTTTACTGGATTGATAGAGACTAGCGGAAACTCTGAGACTACCGCCTTTGAATTTACAGCTGAAGCCATTCCCCTGGTGGTCACCTTTTGTTGAAATAACAGATTGGCTTATAAAATAAAGTTATGACCCATGAATACTGTGCTTCCTTAAGTTATCAAATATATGAGACCAAACAGTCAACATTTACCCGAATACAAAGATGAGAAACGAAGGAGGGGCAGGAAAGCTAGATTAACGGAAACAGAACAAACATAATGGAAATAATAAGAATGTTGACATGTTGTGAAAAATGTAATCAATGTCATGCAACAATCTGTATAGAAATTGCTAAATGGGAACCTAATTTGCTATGTAAACTTTTGCCTAAAACTCAATAAAATATTATAAAAAAGAAAAGAAAAAGAAAGGAGCAGGTATTTGTTTCTCCCTCTAACACAGTAAGAGGGATTAATTGAGAAAGACAAAGAGCTTTTCTGATGTTTCACGAGGTACCAAGCAAAAAGATTTCTGGAATTTCAATTAGGTCAAGAACGAAATTCATTTTCATGATACTGCCACACCATTTGCGTCTTAGTTGTCTAGTGTTGCTATAACAGAAATACCACAAGTGGATGGCTTTAACAAACAGAAATTTATTCTCTTGTTGTTGCTGTTAGGAGTCGAGTCGGTTCTGACTCATAGCGACCCCATGTACAACAGAATGAAAAACTGCCCAGTCCTGCACCATCTTCACAATCCTTGTTATGCTTGAGCCCATTGTTGCAGCCACTGTGTCATTTCATCTGAGTCTTACACTTCTTCGCTGACCCTCTACTTTACCAAGCATGATGTCCTTCTCCAGGGACTATAATCCCTTCTGTTAACATGTCCAAAGTATGTGAGACGTAGTCTCGTCATCCTTGCTTCTAAGGAGCATCCTGGCTGTACTTCTAAGACAAATTTGTATGTCCTTTTGGCAGTCCTTGGTATATTCAATATTCTTCACCAACACCACAATTTAAAGGCGTCAATTCTTTTTCGGTCTTCATTATTCAGCATCCAGCTTTCACATGCATATGAGGTGACTGAAAACACCACGGCTTGGGTCAGAGCACTTTAGTCTTCAAGGTGACATCTTTGCTTTTTTAACACTTTAAAGAGGTCTTTTGCAGCAGATTTGCTCGAAGCAATGCATCTTTGATTTCTTGACTGCTGCTTGAATGGGTGCTGACTGTGGATCCAAGTAAAATAAAATCCTTGACAACTTCAGTATTTTCTACATTTATCATGATGTTGCTTATTGGTCCAGTTGTGAGGATTTTTTTTTTTTGGCCTTTTATTATTATTTTTTTTATTGTACTTCAGGTGAAGGCTTACAGAACAAATA